TCAGTTTCCAAACTTAGAGGTACATAAACAGATAAGTTGTATCAGCTTGGTCTCAGGGAGCATAAATAAGGTCAATGGGTCCATGTTACATGGGGAAGGAGGGCAAATTTCAGCTCAATATGAGAGAAAATGTCCTAGCAATTAGAGGTATCCCAAAACAGAACAGGCTGCCTTGTAAGCGCTTTGGTTTCCCATCTCTGGAGATCTTCTAGAAGAAGCTGGATGAGTCATCACTTGATGGGTTTATTGTGCAGAGTGTGTTCCTGCTTCAAATAAAGATAAGTTGGACTAGACAAACTCTGACCTCTGAGGGTTCCCTTCCAACTTTGACATTTATATTTCTGTAATCTAAAAAAAGATGAGGCCAAGTTTAATTTCCAAATGGAACACTATAAAGTATTTAAGATTGCAAAATTATATGTCCTTGTTTAAGTCAGTTACACGAAGAAAAGGATCTTTAATTACATGGACTTATAACAAATTAAAACAATTTTTCTAATTCTTGTTTTTTAAAAAGTCTCCTAGAGCAAAGTTTTTTCACATTTTCCACTGCATTCTAACAGGAAAATACGGTCACAGTACAAGTGCATCATTTGTGAGGCCTTTCCTACTTTTGTCTCCTACCCCTCATGCCTTCCTTCTGAGATTTCACTTATACTGTACATATCTCGTATTATCTAGTTTTTTCATGTTGCTGCCCCATGAAAACGGGAGCAGAGTAGAGACCTTCTTTTTTTTTTGCCTTTGTCACATCCCCATCACTTAGCTCAATGCCTTACACACAGTAAGCACTTAACAAATATTTGCTGACCAAATGACTGTCTCCTCCGGACCCCACAGAACCCACATGAGGTTGGAATCTAAGGTTTGAAAACCTATGCAAAAAAGGCAGTGTGTTAAAAGAGAATAGAGACCCAGACTTGGAATCAGAAAGACCTAGGTTCGAATCCCTGAGCAAGACACTTAACCTTTCAACGTCCTCAGACAATTTTTAAAGAAAGCTGCAGAGCAAATGCCAGTTCCCCATAGGTAAAGGAAGTTTCTTCTCCTGGAGTTCCCTACAGTGATTAAATAAATCACGGATTAAGAACTCTCTGAATCTCATCTAAAAAAAAGTCACTAATGAAGGACCCGTAATGAATGCAGAAGATTGATGATGAAGCAAGCATGTTGCCTTCCCACTGCTTCCCTGAGAGGTAATAGACTAGAGAGACAGAAAGAAACACAGCCAACGCATTGATTTGTGTTGACTATACTTATTGGCTACAAGGGACGGCTAGACGGCTCAATGGATAAAGTGCTGGGCCTGAAGTCAGGAAGACTGAGTTCAAATCCAGCCTCAGTCACTTACTAGCTGTAGGACCCTGGGCAAGTCACTTAACCTCAGTCTGCCTTAATCCACTGGAGACGGAAATGGCAAGTGACTCCAGTGTCTTTGCCAAGAAAATTCCATGAACAGTACAGGGTCACAAAGAGTCAGACACAACTGAACAACAACAACTGGCTATGAGGGAGGACTTCTATTTGGGGAGGAGCTGATGAATGAGAGTGATTCAAAAAAAAGGGGAAAAAAAAATCAAAGAAACATTAAAAAATACATCAAAGAGAGCAGAAAGAAGTTCAGGACAGACAAGCAGGGGAGTTTTGTATGATAAATTTAACAAATACTTTTTAAAACTGTATATAACAGATGTTTAAAATTTCATATAAAAAACCATAAAGGTTCTATTTCAAAAGTTTGAAAATAAGTAAGTAAATAGTGTCACAAGTCCAATATCTCATTTCTTTATTAAGTTAGAGAAACAAGGAAAGCTCTGTGAAAACTAAACCTAAGCTAATTCATAGCCCAAACCATTTGAAATGCAAAATGATGTTACCTCACAAAAAAGAATCCTTGATAAAGCCATAAAATTTGACCTAGCATGACGATGTTCAATAAATGTTTTTTAAATTACAGTACTATGATTTGAATTAATATCCAGAGAGATATGGATGTCAATTATTCCAATATGTAAAACCAAAAATAGTTGACTACCAAATGAACATCAGGAGAACCTGTGTGAATAAATGTCTCTAGAAGCACTTCTATAATCTTTTCAGTGATAAAATTCAGCATCTAAATTAAAATTTGATGCCTCTAAAAAAAATTAAGTACAGGGTCTTTTTAAACCCCTACTTTAACATAAAGACAAGCGTCTTGTTACTTGAATTTGACTTAAAAAGCAGCACTGTAAAACTACAATAACAGTTAAAAACAAAAACATAGAGAAAATAACAACAAATCAACAAAATCCTTTTTTCAAACAGAAACAACAAGAGACAATTGGGTGCTTCTTGCTTCAATCTACATGACAAAGAACCATTCTCTCAAATTTCCCTATAAAACATTTCAATATAAAGAATTCCAGAGCAAAACATTTATTATCTAGCATGCTAGTATCTGTAGGTAAACAACTAAAAAACAATAATCTACACCTATTAACTGTCAACTGAAAATAGTAAAAAACAGACACACGCCACTAAAAGAATCTTCGAACTAAAAAGGAAAAGAACAAAATGGTGACATTCCAGAAAAAGTCTTTGAATTAATTAACTCATTTCCATGGTAATTATAGCAGAAGGAGCTCACTTATAATTCTTTGGCTCCAAAATATCAAGAAGTGCCCATGCAAATTTCTCTTACCTATAAAAAAAATTTATAAGATAAACACTAATGGCTGCAATAATGCTCAAATTAGTCCTTAGTACAATTTAGTCCAATTACTAGATGGAGTCAAGTCTGAGCTTCAGTGATTTCAGGCTGTGGATCAAATGTGAATAGGAATTCTTTCTTTAGTACTATAAATAACACTATATAGCCTTTTCTTATAACTTCTGCACAGCATTAAGTTATTTCTTCTACTCATCAGCGTACAAAGAAGTCTAAGTAGTTTTTGATCCTACCTCACCCAAAACAACACAGCCCTTCTCCAAAGCATACATACAGCCTCTATATATGCCTCTCCTGCATGGTAACAGTATCAGGTCTCAATAGAGAAAAACAAATATTTTTCAAAGAATGAGTCATGACCTGCTTACTATGGTTCAATCATTGCCAGAAATTTCTCTATAAAGTAAAAGCAAATAAGAACCTTCTGAGAAAGAAAAAAAATGCATAAAAGATGACTATACTTTAAAAATTTTCCAGGAATTCTAAATTTCAGGACACAAACTCTAAATCACGATCTTTTTGGTCCTAATCTGATTTCAACACAATTTCTAACTAACCAGACAAAGAGTCTGAGTCCTAACAGATTGGTGTTTTTGAAGAAGGGAAGAAGTTGCATTCATCAAACTACAGGTCACTGACCTTGACATAGATTGACATAGATTGATAAAATTCTAAAGCAAATAATTAAAGCAAAGGTTCATGAGTGCTTAGATCACCACAATACAAAAGACCAAAAGATTCAGCTAAAAGCGTTATTTACCAGTCAGAAGCTCCACTTCTTTATAAGAGAAGTAAAAACCAAAAAACTATTACCTGCCAAAGCCCCATCCACGGCTTTCACTCACATCTGGGTGAAAAGCTATATTCCGGCATTGCATAAGTCAGAATTAAACAGGAGCCAAGACCTGGAGATGCTTTGATAACTAAATTATTGCAACCTTAAATCATTTGTGTTACTCAACGGAGTCAGATATGAATAACAATGCCCTCCAAAAATGTGTAAATACAATGGAGAAAAATGAGGCAGCATAGCACAGTAAAAAGAGCATGAATTTAAAAGTCCTGAGCTTTAGTCCTCATCCCTACACTGACAAACTGTCAGACCTCTGTTAAGTCAAGGACTCACTAAGCCTCCATTTCTTCATTTGTAAAATGGGAATAATGTTGACACTATTTACCTAATAGAGCTGTGATGATCAAATGAGATCATTTATTTATTCAAGGATTTTTTAAAAGTATCTCTTATGAGAAATGCACCATCCTAACATAAGTGCTTTATAGCAGAAAGTCACACTGTTCAAAATTTCTTCCAAAGTCTAGAAAGAATTAAGTTTGGGACTATTACTACAGAATAACCATCTCTATCAAAATCACACATGGATCAACATATGTCTGCGTTTTTTACAACCTGAATATTTAATCAAATTATTCAATCAATTTAATTGATTTTTTGGCAGTTCCCACCAGGATGCTAGATAAATAATGATATTCATGTATGTGTATATAAACACATGGCTATACATCCACATATATATACATACATATTCATATATGGGAAGCTAATTATATATACATTTTACACACGTGTATATCTACATATACATACTAGTTATATAACAGGATATATACATATAGGATGCTAGATATTATGCATATACACATATGTATACATATTTCCTAGGTATATATTGTATCCTAGGATACTATAGGATATGTACATATAAATACACACGCATGTACACATACATGTATGTGTATGCACATACACATATTGCTAGCTATATACAGGAATATACTTATAGGATGCAAACTATAGGAAGGAAGCTAAAAGTTCAAATTATTTTCAGCACGTGCATCTAGAATACAGATGCACTCACATAAGATTTCTCCCTCAAAGGTAAAAGCTCTAAAGCTGTTTTTCTAGCTTGTACTTGCTTTATTTTAATCACCACCAAGGCCCTCGCCCAACAACTTCCACAACTGTCTGATATACAAAGGCTGTACTGCCCAGAATATACATACACCTAAGCCCTGATTCTCCTTCATGGGACAGCGCGTTACAGAACACAAGGCACTCATCTGTCTAATGAATGGGCGAATCAATCAATCTACCCACGTCCTGCAACCCGAGACAAATAAGGGGGCTTCCGCCTGTGAGGCGAAGGGCATTTCGGGGTCCCGACCAGCAGGTGCCACCGGGCCAACCTCCCCGCGACCCCGGGCTCGGTAGGGGACCCTGGACTGAGCCAGCAGCCGGAAGGGGTTCCCAGCCGTAGAAAAGAGACGTTACCCAGAGCGGGGACTGCAGCGACACCAGGTCCCCACCCCACTGCCTTGGGGGGTGCCAGCACCGAGTCCCCCGGACCGGCCGCCAACCCGCCGGAGACCTCGGTCCCCGGTCCCGTTACCGGTGCGGCTTGAGAAGCTCTTCCGTCTCCCAGGGAATGGACAGCACTTCCGGTTCCGGGGTTTCGTGTTGCCGGAAGTCGAGGAGATTGACGCAGAAAGTGTGGGCCGCTCTTCAGATCTCGGAGTGTGAAGGCTTCTAGTAACATGGTAGGAAAGTGGGAAGGGAAGGGATTGAGGAGGACTGCACTTTTCTTCACCGGAGAATAAACAAGTTGACGGAGGCGGGAGGAGCCCTTGTCGGTTGAATTCTCGAGCCGGGTTCTCGTCGGCTTCGCGCCGGACTTATCCGCCAGGAGCCGGGGTGGGGTGGGGGGAGTCTTGGGTAGACTCCAAGTATTTGGTGAAGGCCATCGGGGGAAATATCGGGACGGAGCTGAGAATTTTAACTCAAAGGTGTCTATTATTTTCAGGGGAAGCAAAAGAAAGCGAGGAAATACGCGACCATGAAGCGAATGCTTAGTTTACGAGATGAGAGATTGTGAGTGGCCTAAATCAGCTACTGTCCTAAAGCAGATGCTGGTAGAGGAGAGTCGTAATTTGCTTGCAGAGGTTTGGTCCCCGGATTCCTGGTTAGGTGTTTCTTGTTTTGAAATATGACTTAAATTTAAAGAAACCTCCTCTGAATTTTTTTGGGGGGGGAGAGAAAATGCGGATCTGAAAGTAAACTTTAATTTTTAAAAAGCTTCTCTTTAGGAGAATTATTCTATGTAGGCTTGCTTGTCATGCAGCTGATCTCAAGTAATTGGTTATAATTAGTTCCCAAAAGAAATAATTTTTGACATTCTTGTAGCTTCATTTCAGTTACTAAACTCAGCATCGTTTTGGAACATTTATCATATTATAGATAGGCAGTATGGCAGAGTAGATAGAGGACTGGCCTTGGAGTCTAGAATACCTGACTGGGTTCAAGCTCTGCTGCAAGACCACGCCAGTAATTTATTTTGGGTCCTGAAGTTAATTATTTGGTACTGTTGCCAAAAACGGGTGTTTCCATGCATCTGTCACAAAAAAGTTTTAAAACAAGCATGGGAAGAATGACAGTTAAGACGAGTGGATAGAGAATGGGAAGAGAGGCTGGGATGGGGTATAGCTTACACTTAGGCAACCAAGAGTTTGGGGGATTGGGAGAAAAAGAAATTAGGTGAGCTGAGTAGTGCATATTTTGTTAAATTGTTGTACTCTTAGAATAGCATGCTGTTCCGGAAAATGTGCCATTAACAGTATTGGGGAAGAACTTTTCCCTTTCCTTGTATTTATCAGGCCATACTAACTCTTAATACATTTGTTCTTATTTGGACAAATGTTTGGCTCATACACTTTGTTTATCCATGTGTGAACTAAAAATGTTGTATGTTTTAGATAAAAGAAGTGCCACATCCAAAATATACCTCTGACAGCATTAAGGGCTTTTTCTCTTCTATTCCTGCATTCATCAGCCAACACTAATTCTAACCCATTTAGTCTTGTAAAGTTTGGGGAAGTGTTTGATGTGATAATTCATCACCTAGATGTAGATTTTAATCCTTGATAAAGAAGCTATTGACTGAGAGATAAAATTATTTATTTCTTTGTGAGCCACAATTACATAGTGTTTAACCAGGCATTACTTAAAAATTCTACGTGTTTTTAATCTCAGGATATTAAGATATCTCCTTAGGCTAATCTCCTGACATCTAGTATGTCACTAGGGCATCTCTCACTGCAGCCTTCAGGGAATTGATTTTACTAATAGCAAAAGCCAAACAAAGTTAGATTACCTAAATCATTATTCTTATCCATTACTAAAAGTAATTAAGAGTTGGATGTACTTATATTTATTTAATAAAGACTTTTTTTACTATGATGTTATTCCTCAATTTATTTTTTACTTTATTAGAAAAGAAAAAGATCGATTAAAACCAAAAAAGAAAGAGAAGAAAGATCCCAGTGCTCTCAAAGAAAGAGAAGTGTAAGTGTTGAAGAAAATCCAGAATATTTTCCCATGTCCACCTCCACCCCTGCCCACCCTTTCCACCATGCCCTCTGCAACTGCTGTGTGTAGTTAACAAATTTCTCTTTTAAACCTCTTCCTCTCAGATTCCTTCCATTTTCTTGTACTTAGAGAATTGGCTTCTCCCAGGTGATAGTGCATTCCTAGCCATTTTCTCTATCACTTCCTGAACTTTCTTTCATATTCCTCTAACATACTGGTGAGCAGGAATATTCTTTGCTCCTCACTTGTAGTTCTAGATTAGTTTTACCACTATCAGTCCATTCAAGTTTATGTTGAGGTCCCCACATACCCTAGTTTTCCTAATCCCTCAATCCTCTTCCACTTCACTTCTGCTCCATACAGGGATGATCACACCCTTGATCTCTCCAACAAGTGTTTCACTTCAGTAATCAAAAACTCTCATCTCTTTATTATACCATATCTTTCTATCATTCCATTTCTCCCTATGCCACATCCCTCCTAAATCTGTTCTTTGTACCTCCAATCTTCCATCCTTCAGTATTCTCCCAGGCTTTCATCCTTGCTCTGACTTCACTTTCCCCCCTCCTCAATCTCCACACTACATTTAACTGATTCATACACTACTTTGTCCCAGATCCTGTTGACACCATTTTCCAAACCCTAATCTTGTATATTATGCCCAAAATCTACTTCATTCCTGCTCACATCCTGCTGAACAGATCTGGAGAAAGTCATGCAGTTGAGGTGACTGGTCCACTAAATATTTAAATTCTCTAATCTCAACTCAACCCTCCCCTTAGTGAGACAGTCCTTTTACTCCTTAGTAACTGGTTCAGTATTCCACTCAGGATAGAGGTTGTTCCAGGCTTTCTCTTTCCTCTTCAAGCCTCTTTCATTATTCCCTTCCTGTCTTTATTGAGGATGTCACTTCATATTTTATTGAGAAAATGAAAGACCTTTTGCCGTAAGCTGCCTCTTCTCCCTTTCTCTGTATCTGCAACTGCTTGATATCATCCTTTAATCTCACCTGTATGCCACTTCTGATGAAAAAGTGATTCCTGTCATCAAGGCCAGCCCTTCTTCATGTTCCCTTGATCTCACCCCCTCCCATCTTTTCAAATAGATTTCCTCCACAATCATCCCTTCCATTCCTGCTGTTCACAAATGCATCCAAGTCGCCTTTACTTACAGAAATCCTCTTTTACTCTACCACCCTCTCAAGCAAATATCTCTCCTCCCTTTCATAGTCAACCTCTTAGAAAAAAGCTGTGTATCCCCATTGCCTCTAATTTCCCTTACTTTTCTGAATCTTTTTCAGTGTGGCTTCTAATTAAACTGCTGTCTCCAAAGTTATCTGTGATCTCTTATTTGCCAGGTCTAATGGCCTTTTCCCAGTCCTCATCTTTCTGGATTTCTCAGCTATATTTGATATTCTTAACTTTCCTCTCTAAGTTTTTTATGATGCTGTTCTCTCTTTGTACTCTTCCTACCTATCTGATCACATCAGTCTCATTTGCTGGTTCGTTGACCCCCTAACAGTGTGTATACCCAAGACTGTTCTGAATCTTCTTCTGCATATACTCTTTCACTCGATGACCTCAGTAGCTCCCATGAGTTTAATTATCTCTATACAGATGACTCCCAAATACATAAGCTCCGGTCCTCTGCTTCCAATTCTTTATTGGGGTATTTGAAACTAGATGTCTCGTGATCTTCTCGAGGTTGGGATGTTAAAAACTGAACTCATTGTCTTTCCTCCAAAAACCCACCCTACTTTCCATTTTCCCTGTTTTTCTTATGATACCCAGACATCAATCTGAGCATTATCCTTGACTCCTTACTCATGTAGTCACTGATATCCCATCAGTTCCCAGATCTTGTCATTTCTACCACGATAATGTGTCTCACATCCATTCCTTTCTCTTTACTCACCTGGCCACCACCCTACTTCAGGCCTTCATCACCTGTTGCCTGTGTAATAGCTTTTTCCTTGGTCTCTCTGCCTCAAATCTTGTCCCATTCTGGTCCATCTTCCTCACAGTTGCCAAAGTGATTTTCCTGAAGTGCAGGTCTGCCCTTGTCACTCCCCCAGTGACTCCCTGTAGCATCTGGCATCCGACATAAGATCCTCATCAAGCCCTTCACAACCTGGCTTTCAGCTGACCTCTCCTTCCTCATCATTGCCCAGCATTCCATGTGCTATCTAAAGTCTTTCTCTTTGTAGGAACAATAGGGAAAAGAAGTTAGGCCTCAGAGTCCCCTTCACTTTGTTAATGTGCTGCACTCTTCCTAGAACATGCCTCTTCGGAGTTTGGACTCCTTCTCTTAACTGTCAGAGGACTTTAGTTGTTGTCAAGTGTGTTGTTGGTACTGAGTAAAAATCATTTTAAATTAATTTATTCTCTTGTCTTTTAGTCCCCAGCACCCGTCCTGCTTGTTCTTCCAATATAACACACAGTTGGGACCCCCTTACTACATCTTGGTTGATACCAACTTTATCAACTTCTCCATCAAAGCCAAGTTGGACTTAGTGCAGTCAATGATGGATTGTCTATATGCCAAGTGTGAGTATTGTCCTTGGAATAAGACTTTTTCTATAACAAATTAATCAGTGAGCACTTACTAAAACATTTACTATGTGCCAAATACTGGGAATACAAAGACAAAAATGAAACAAGTCTCTGCTGTAAAATATGTTAAGTTCTATTTACCTAAAACGGTTGTGAAGTGAGAAATTCTCATTAACCTAAGAGCTTATGTCTATATTTACTTACTGTGGCGACTATCAGTTTTCATGGAATTGGAATACAGGAAAAGCACTTAATCCAGAAGTATCTGGATATAACTTCTTTTTCCAGAAGTTGCTTCAGAATTAACAAGTGCCTCTAAAGGCCACAAGTTGTACAGGCAGGCCTGCTCTAGAGCTTCAAATATCAGTGTATAATATTTTATAAATTCTATTGAGCTTTTAAATTTGGAAATAATTGAATTTTCAGTATGCCATAAGTCAGTTCTCTCTTCTTTTCAATAAGGAATGGACCTCATTTCATACTACTTATATAGTAAGTGTTTATTGATCGATATACCATGTACTTCATTGGCTCCACAGATCATGGCAAGTAATCCTACCACCAGTACTGATTGCAACCCATCTATACTTTATCAGTGTGATTCATCCTTTAATTTCACAAATTCTTCATATAGGATCTGCCTTATGCTTGAAGGCCTTCTTTCAACGTTTCATAAATATCGATCTGACACTTGAGCCATCTTCTTCCAGTGTTTTGCCCATATTTTCCGCTCAAACATCTCATGGAGAAGACCTATGCTATTTTTGTGCATAAGTTTTTATTGGTAATGTTGTCATGGTAAAAATGGCCTTGGATTTTTGTGGGGCATAAGCTCTGCCATGGCCTACTAAAAGTTAAACTTGCTTCAGTTATGGGCCTCACATGGCTCAGTGTTGAGTTATCACCAGAAAGTTTGATCAGCAGGATTTTTTTTTTTTTTTTTTGTCACAGAAATGCAGTGAAATGCTTTGTTACAGTATGAAGGTGTTGCTATCTGTGTCAGTAGAGGGTATACCCATATTGATGAAATCATGGATGTTCTTGAAGGACTGGTGTATGGAAATTATTGATATAATAAATAAAATGGATAACTATAGGGAAGTTTCAGTTTTCTCATTAACCTTTGAGGATAATGTCATGGAGGGTGATTGTTATACCCTCCCATAGTTGTGCTTCTTTTAAAGTTCTCTTAATACCTTTGTTTTTTCGTACTATAGCAATTTCCTGCCTCATCATAACAAAAGCTGTTAAGCAAAACCGTCTAATGTATCAACCACTTTTGACAATTTGACACCACCACATTGCATAACTATAGTTCCCTACTTATACTGAGAGGAGAGAGATTGTTTCATCTTCTCTCTTTCTGGAACCAAGATTATTCATTATAATTAATCACAATTCAGCTGATTTTTTTGGTTTTAATTTGCATTTTGTAGTAATTGTCTATGTTATACTAGTTCTGTTCATTTTACTCTATATGAGTTCTTATGTGTCTTTCTGTGTTTCTTTAGATTCCCCAAAATTATTTAACTATGCAATATTGTACTGTTAGATTCATATGCCACAATTTGGTGAACCATTTCCTTACTAATAGCTACCCATTTTTTGGATTTTTGTTTCTTTCGGGATTTTTGTCATTACAAAAACAGTACTTTGAATATTTTGGTGTATATATAGGGCCAGCCTTTTCTGTCATTAACCATCATGAAACATGCCCAGTCATGAGATTACCGTTCTGTCAAAGGATTGGAATGGTTCAGAGACTTTTCTCCTACAATTCCAAATTGTTTTCCAAAATGGTTAGACCATTTTACAACTTCACCAACAGTATTTTAATGTGCCTGGCCTCTTTCAGCCCCTCCAGCATTAACTATTTATGTCTTCTATCATCTTTGCCACTTTGAGGAGTATAAGATATGTCAGAATTGTTTTAATTTGTATTTCTCTTATTGTTAATGATTTGGAGCATTCTTTCATCTCTTGATAGTTTGCAATTCTTGCGAAAACTGTTCACATTCTTTGAATGCTTATCTTTTCAGAATAGCTCTTGAACTTATATATTTATGCCAATATGTCTTGATATAGATTCGATATCAGGCTTTTATCAGATATTTGATACAAAGGTATTTTTCCTACTTCAATTTTTTGTATTCTAGCCGTATTGATTTTGTTCATATAAATGTTGTTTTGGTTTAGATTTTATGTTATTGAAAGTGTTTTCTCTTTTATGATCACCTCTATTCCTTGTTTTGTTAAGAATTCTCCTCCTAACATGAAACAATATACTTGTACTCCATTGATGTGTTAGTTTTTTTTTTTTTTTTTTTTTAGGCGATTGGGGTTAAGTGACTTGCCCAGGGTCACACAGCTAGTGTCAAGTGTTTGGTCTGAGCCGGACTTGAACTCAGGTCCTCCTGACTTAAGGGCTGGTGCTGTATCCACTGCGCCACCTAGCTGCCCCGATGAGTTAGTTTTGATGAACTGCTTTTTTTTTTTCCCCTCTTTTATTTTTTGTTAAAAGAGATAATTAACTGGGTAGAGGATGGAAGAGGAATATATTCAGAAAGATAATGTAAAAACAAAAAATGTCAAAAAAAAATTTTTTAAAGAATTCTAATCATGTATCTGAAAGTGCCACCTGCCCCTCTATTTTGTTGCATTTGGAGTTTATTGTGGTATATGGCATAAGATGCTATTCTAAATGTAATTTTTACCACAACATTTTCCTGCCTTCTCAGTTTTTGTTGAATTAGGAGTTCTTTCCCAAGAGGTTTGTGTTATTGGATTTATTGAATATTGGGCCACCATATTTGATTGCTTCTAGATTTAATTTGTCACTCTAGTCTATTCCACTGATCTACTTTTCTCTTTTTTCAACAATACCAAAAAGTTATAATGATTATTGTTTTATAATATAGTTATTAACCTTGAGATTTTAGATCTCTGTTCCTCTTAACCTAGAATCTATTGAACTTGATAACTATTTTAATGTAATTGATTTCTTTTGTACTGCTGTGTACTTTATGCATTTAAAAACAGAATTCAGGGCAGGAGTCCATAGATTTCATCAACCTGCCAGAGAGGTGCATGGCACAATTAAGGTTAAGCACCCTTGCTCTAAATGAATTTTCTTACTATTTTTGTCTAATTCTGTAAAGTAACCCCTTGGTAGTTTGTTCTAGTTGAAACTTATAAGGTAGTTTTAACATTTTTATTGTATTGCCATTGACTAACTGTGAACAGGGTTGATGCTGATGATTTCAGTGCACGCATTTTATAACCAGCTGCTTTACTGAAATTGTTAATCATCCCAGTTTCTTTGCCAATTCTTTGGAGGTTTTCTAAATAAACCACAATATCATCTGAAAGTCGGGTTAATTTTGTCTCTTAGAACATACCATAAACAAAGTGATACAGGTTTCTTCACAGGTATGAATCATAATTTTTTTTTAATTACATATAGGCATTCCCTGCATAACTGACTGTGTAATGGCTGAAATTGAAAAACTGGGACAGAAGTATCGAGTAGCCCTGAGGTAGGGACATATTGGGGATTCCTTTGGTCCCATTTCATTTATTTACTGTCCTAAATTTTCTCATCTTTTAACTTAGTTAAAATTCATGTAAACCTAATCACCTCTAGAGTTGCAGTTGAGAATTCAAAGCTCTAAACTCATTAGCTAGGATTTCTTGGTTAATTTATTCATGTTTTTGAACAACTTTTAAAACGTTATCTCCATTTTCAGTTAGAGGTAACATTTTAAGCTTTCTGTTCTCTTAAATTATATTATTATGTAGGAACCCTTGACTTAACAGAATTTCAGTTAATAATTTAATAATTTAAGTTTAGTTTAAGGGAAAGCCCCCCACCCTTAGTTTTCCATTATTTACTGCAATAAAAAGTGATGCTATGAATATTTTGTGTGTTTAGGTCTTTTACCTCCTTATTTTATACCTGTCAAGTATAATAACCTTACAGGTGGTCTCACTGGATCAAAGGATACGCACAATTTAGTAACTTTGGGGACATAGTTCCAAATTGCTTTCCAGAATGGCATAGTCTAGCCTGTTCTTAACAGGATTGTCATCTATGCCTTTATTCAAGTCATTGATAGAACTGAACTATGTAAGGAAATACTGACATTAATATCTCCTTATGAATTCTGTTGTGAATCCGTTGCTTGAAAAACGTAGTGACTGGATCGCATAGACACAGCTCTGAATTCAAGTTTTATATCCTCAGGATTGCCAAGGACCCACGCTTTGAACGCTTGCCGTGCTCACACAGAGGAACATATGCAGATGATTGCTTAGTCCAGAGGGTCACTCAGGTATCATTTTGAGTGGTCTACTTTGTGTTTAGCCTAGAAAAAGTTGCTTGATAATTGGTGAGCTATGTTCTCCATGTAGCCAAAAAAAATCCACAGATCCTGGGGGGATATCACATGGAACCTATTCATAAGCAAGTGAGAATATTTCTTCCTGAGGAAAAAAGGAAAGAGAGACAATGGCTACTAACATTAGTCTCTTGAAGAGTGACTGATTCTTTCATCCAGAAATCTACTTATTTTATGCGTTAGGTTGTTTTGGTAGCCTTTCTCATTAGTATTATGCTATGTAAGCTATCCAGTGGTATGTGTATATTATAGATAACCTCAGCCCCTGTCCCTCTTGCAGCATAAGTGTTACATTGTGGCTACAGTTGATCGAGACCTTAAACGAAGAATCCGGAAGATCCCTGGAGTTCCTATCATGTACATTTCTAATCATAGGTGAGACATGTCTGAAGGTGATGATGATAAGAATATTGTCATTCAAGTTAGTTTAAAAGTATTCATCATTTTTTATGCCCTTTCAGGTATGTTTATTCATTTAAAGATGAGGTGAAGATGCAAGATCTTACAGATTGCTCTATGTCAAATATTTAAATAGTTAAATATCAGAAGAGGAAAAAAGATGCTTTTACTTTTCCAGAATTTTTTAAGTCCATCCCCAGATCTGACTTGTTTTCCTCTTTTTCTTTACTGTGGACTCTCTGCCTAAACAAAGTTAGTACACTGTACTGCAAATTCCTCAGCATTTCTTTCTTTTTTTAATAACATTTTACTTTTTCCAATTATATATAAAGACAATTTTTGACATTCATTTTTTATAAAGTTTTGAGTCCTAAATTTTCTCCCCCCTTTCCCTACTCTCTAAGAAAGTAAGCAATTTGGTATAGGTTATATATGTACAATCACATAAAACATATTTTCATATTAGGTTGTGAAAGAAGAAATAACAAAAGGAAAACACAAAAAAAAAGTTAAGTGAAAATAGTATGCTTCAATCTGTATTCAGACTCCATCAGTTCCTTCTCTGGATGTGCATAGAATTTTCCATCATGAGTCTTTTAGAATTGTCTTGGTTCATTGTATTGCTGAGAAGAGCTAAGTCAATCATAGTTGATCATCACACAATGTTGCTGTTACTGTATACAATGTTCTTCAGCATTTCTTTCAGTGCCTGAATAATTCTAGATTCTAAGATGAATTTTATACCCTTTTTTGTTGCTTGCTGCAAGGCCAAGGAGAGAATGCCAGAGTTAGTTAATACAAAGCAAAATAAAGGCCATTGAATAGGTTTTTCAAGCTTTCTGAACAGTGTATTAATTCTTTGTTATGAATAGGTATAACATCGAGAGAATGCCGGATGATTATGGAGCCCCTCGATTGTAACATCAAGAGACTGAACTTCTGTGATGGCAGTCTACAAAACACCATTCTAGTCCATTACTTGTCGTATTGTATAAAATGGGGTTATAGAGATTTACTTTTTTGTCCTGTTCTGAAATGATTTTTGTATCTTAATGAAAAACTCATTTAATTTATACATAAATCACTTCTGTCCAGTCATTTCTATAGACTCAATTTTTCCTATTGTCTCATTTCTTCTTCATTGCTGGGTAAAGGGCTTTAAATAAATATTTCCATGGGCTTTCTTCCCTTGCCTCTCCTGAAGCTGATGCTACGGACAACTTTATTATATTGGGAATAAACATAAATGAGGAAAATATTGAAGCTGTCACTAGATATAAAAAATATTTCTTAAAGAATGTGCTGCCAGATATCTTAGGACATAAATTTCAAAATCTTAAGTAGTAGTTTCTAATTTGTATTAGAAGTATGAGGAAGCACTCTATTGAACATTATACAAGTTGATGTCAGTATCCTGGAAAAATGTCTTAACTTTCTCCTCTATTGAGCCTTTTGAAAGTTTTACTGATAACTTTTCTTACATTGCCTTCATTTCCTAATAATTACTCCTCCACCCAAATGAGTCAAAAAAAGACAGAGAGAAAAGGAAGTCAGCAAAACTAACACTTTTACAAATTCAAATGCCATGTGAACTGTTTCACACCCGTAATCTACAACCTCTGCAAAGAAGGAAGGGGAGGTACATTCGTATAGTTTGGTGGGGTCAGGGTAAGGGAGCAAGGATGATACAGAGGGTCCCTTTATCAACTTGTAAGGTTCAGTCTTTCCCAAACTCTTTTGGGAAGTATAATCAATGAGAAATTTTGACTCAAGGATAAGAATGCATTTTTAGTTCATTTTGAAGAAGAACCTGATCATTTTGTCCTTTCCCATTTCAACCACCCTGTGTGTTTTTTTTTTCATTCACCAAAAGTTATCTACAGAACTCTATGTACAGAGCCCTGTGCTAGGTACTGGGAAAAAATAGAAATGTTAAATAAAGTAAGTTCCTGCCTTCAGGGATCAGTGGAGGTATTTGACATATATAACTTTTTTTCTCAAAGTTTAAAAATGAAAGAGAAAAGACAAAAATAGGACCGTAGCTAATGAATCACAGAAGGGCTTTGTGATAGTGAGGTACCAAAATATGTTTGGAGGCAGATGAGAACAAATTAGTAGTGAAAAAGAGAATGAAGGCATGAGAGAGGGGACAGGTTAAGGGGGATATGATTGCTCCATGTTAGACTATTTGATAAGAGAGTTAAGCTTGACAGGGCTCCAATACTTTGGTTGCATAGAGTTCAAGAGATTGAAGGAAAGAATAGGATCCCATTGTCTAAAGTTTCTTTAGCAAAGTCAGAGTCCAGGAGGAGTAGAAGGCTCTCAAGTGACATCTCAAAAGCACAAAAGAGAAACAGTTCAGTGAAAAGGAAAAGGAGTTGTCTGAGAACACTTATGTATGCATTCTCAGATTTTTGAAAGGTATGTCCAGAATATGGAAGCATGGGCAGATAAAATGAACACAGAAGTGTGGCAATTCTAAAATATCAGGGTCAGGACCAGTAGAGCTCAGAATGAACCCAGGCTGGCAAGAAATGCAAAAGACAACTTTTTTTTTTAAAAAGCTTATTTTGATTTTTTTTTCTTTTAAGATATATTGAGGGAAAGGAGAATCAAAGATGGGACCACTGCTTAGGGTGGACAGAATGAGGAAAATGGCTAAATATTAAGATAGCACTACTCAAACTCTTATTTTGCTTCTGTTTTCTCTGCCATGCATAATGATAATCTTCAGACAAGAAAGAATAGAATGAAGAAACTTTAAAAATTTATTAATTGCTTACTGTGTGCTAAGCATTAGGGGTACATAGAAGATCATTACAGTGCTTGCTTTCAAGGAGCTCACATAATTTGGGGCACATATATGTATATATAAACTACATATACTATGTATGACATACATTATATTGTATGTGTACATATGCACAATACATAGACAATGTCTAATATACACCAAATGTGTGTATGAGTATATATATATGTGTGTGTGTGTGTATACAATGTATATATAATGTGTATGGTATATATGTCATATATAGTATATTTAGTCTCCCAAAATTATAATGTGAGCTCCTTGAGAGCAATTAATATAGGAGCTCATATATAGAATGTCTCATAGTCAGCTCTTGTTCCACCCTGGCTTAGAGTAGAAATTGTAGCCCAAATGAGTGACTTATGTATTTGGGGGTATAATTTGCTCCCCAAGATAGAGTAGGTGAACTTCATGGGTTCAAAGAACAGGTTTAGGTAGAATGGGGCAGAACGAACAAAGTCTAGGAGGTTATATTTAGAGGAAGGAATTTTAGCATTCAAGATCCTGAAAGCAGAATAGTTGTAAGTGATGCTGCTTTTGAAGTTGTGACCATCACCCTACATGACTGCTATGGAGTGAAGATATATGTTATAGGAGTTGAGAAGGTTAATGAATTAGAAGGCTAATGTGTTCAAAGTAATACCACCATGCATGTTGAGGTCCATAAGGATGAGGACAGGGTTTGGTGATGAAAGAAGACATTAAGCCAAGAACTGAATTCTCTGAGAAAGGAAGGAGAATACTTGGAAGGCAACCTATAACTACAGCAAGAATGTAGACCAGCTGATGTAGATGGACAGAATGAACCTCAAAGGAGAAATTTCTGATTGATGGCAGCAGAGGAAGGATTTTTCAGGAAGTGGTAATCAATCATTGAACATTTATTAAGCACCTAACTATGGGCCAGGCATTGTTCTAAGTGCTGGGGGTACAAAAAGAGGCAAAAGGCAGTCTCTGCCCCAAGGTGCTCACAGTCTAATGGGGGAAACATCAAGCAAATAAATATGTGCAACAAGATACATGCAGGATGAATAGGAAATAATTAATAGGAAAGGCCCTAGAATAAAGAGAGGTTTGGAAAGACTCTGTAGAAGATGGGATTTTAGTTAGGACCTAAAAGAAGCCAGAGAAGTCAATAGATAGAGTTGAAGAGCAAAGTCATTCCAGGCATGGGAGAAAGCCAGAGAAAATGCCCAGAGCCAAGAGATGGAGTGTTTGTTCTTGAAACAGCCAGGAGGCCAGTGTCACTGGATCATAGAGTATATGTTGTGGAGTAAGGCGTAAAAAGACTGGAAAGGTAGGCGGGGGCTGAGTTATAAAGGATTTTTAACGCCAAAAGAGAATTTTGTATTTGATCGTGGGTGTAATAGGGAGGCACTGGAGTTTATTTAGTGGGGAGTGATACATCAGACTTTCAATGTAGGAAAATCACTTTAGTTGCTGAATGAAAGATGGATTGGAGTGGACAGAGACTTGAGACAGGCAGGACCCAAAAGCAGGCTATTGGAAAAGTGCAAGTATGAGGTGATACAGTTTTCTCCAGGGTAGTGGCAGTGTCAAAGGAGAGAAGGGAGCAGGGCAGGGGAAAGGACAGAGAGGAAGAAAGTCGGGTATCAGAGAGATGTTGCAAATGTGAAATTGGCAGACCTTGGCAAGAGATTGGGGATGAAAGAGAGTGAGGGATCCAGGAGGACTCCTAGGTTGTGAAGCTGAATAACAGGTTCTTCTCCAGTAGTCGGGAAGGTAGGAGTGGAGGAGGGTTTGGGAAAGATAATGAGTTCAGTTTTGGACATATTGAGTTTAAGATGTCTACTGACGTCTAGTTTGAGATGTCTGAAAGGCAGCTGAAGATGCAAAATTGGACGCAAGCAGAGAGATTGGGGCAGGATAGACAGATTTGAAAATCGTCAAATCCATGGGAGCTGAGATTGCCAATTAAAATAGTATAGAAGAAGAAAAGAAGATCCAAGAAAGAATTCTGTGAGATACCTATGGTTAGAGGGTGTGATCTGGATGAGGATTTAGCAGAAGAGACTGAGAAGGAATGTTCAGATAGGTAGGAAGAGAACCAAGAGAGTATGGTGTTCCAAAAACCTAGAGAGAAGAGACTATCAAGGAGAAGAGGGTGATCAACAGTGTTAAAGGCTGCAGAGAGATAAAGGAGAACAAAGATTGAGAAAAGGCCATTGGATATGCCAATTAAGAGATCACTGGTAACTTTGGAAACAACAGTTTCAGTGGAATGATAAGGTCAGAAGCTGGATTGTGAGGGGTTAAGAAAAAAGAAGAGGAGAGAAAGTTACTATAGATGGCCTTTTCACGGAGGTTAGTCACAAAGGGCCAAAGGGTTATACAACAGACTAATCAGGAATAGAAGGATCAAGGTTGTTTTTTTTTTTTCAGGTTGGGAGAGACATGAGCGTGGGGTTTGTTTGTTTTTTTAGGCAGTAGGGAATGTACCAGTAGACAGAGATTGAAAATAAGTGATAGAATAGAGTGACAAAGGGGGTGGTATGTTAGAAGAGATGAAATGGAATGAAATCACTTGAGCTAATCCATTAGCTTTGGTAAATAAGGTCACTTCTAGTCACTCTAGATCTTAAATTGTATTATAAAGCAGCAATCATCAAAACTACTCGGTACTGGCTAAGAAATAGAGTGGTAGATCAGTGGAACAGGTTAGGTATGCAAGACACAGTAGTCAATGACTGTAGTAATCTACTATTTGATAAACCCAAAGACCCCAGCTTCTGGAATAAGAACTCACTATTTGACAAAAACTGCTGGGAAAACTGAAAAACAGTTTGGCAGAAACTAGGCACAGACCAAAATCTCGCACCATATATACCAAAATAGAGTCAAAATGGGTTCATGATTTAGATATAAAGGCTGATACTATAAGCAAACTGGGAGAGCAAGGAATAGTTTACTTGTCAGATTTATGGAGAACAGAAGAATTCATGACCAAACAGGAAATAGAGAACATTATGAAATGTAAAATGGATAATTTTGAGTACATTAAATTGAAAAGTTTTTGCACCAATAAAACCAATGCAACCAAGATTAGGAGGGAAGTGGAAAACTGGGAAAGAATGTTTACAACCATGTCTCTGATAAGGGCCTCATTTCTGAAATATATAGAGAACTAAGTCAAATTTATAAGAATATAAGTCGTTCCCCAATTGATAAATGGTCAAAGGATATGAACAGGCAGTCCTCAGATGAGGAAATTAAAGCCATCTATAGTCATATGAAAAAGTGCTCTAAATCATTATTAATTAGAGAAATGCAAATCA